ACCTCCAGCGCTCCTCCGTAGAGGGTGATCCCTCTGAGGGCTGCGGACTTGGCCTGCGGCGCTGTGATTCCGGGGAGGACTCAGGAGTTGGTGTGTGTGGAGGTTGCTCTGAGGCTGAGTCATTATCACACAGGAGGTTAATCAGTTCCTCCTTCTTTAGCCCTTTCTTCACATGAAGGCCTCTCTCTTTCGCCAGCTCTTTCAGTTCAGGCACGGTCTTTTGGGCGTACTGCTCCGCCATCCTGGCTATCTACACTATCCAGTCGACCCGATGCCAAATTAGAAATTGTTTGCTCAAGGGATTTCAGTGACTATTACTCTTCCCAAATTATGCCTGTAACACGGCAGGGTTATTCGGATCCCACCTCTAACACCACGTGTTGCGGGCCCAGGGATCCCAAATAATGCCTATAAAACTGTAGGGTTATTCGGATCCCACCGCTGCCACACATGTGGCGGGTGCAGAGATCCCACCTCATGCTTCCCCTGCCAACCTCCACATATTTCCCTGCACCTGCACTTCTGTCCGGCAGCTGCTGAAATACAGTTTGGAATCAACAGCAAGTCAATCTACGGTTATAACATTTTCAAAATGTTTGACTGTTACACCATATACACATAAAAACAGCTCTCTGCATATGTGACCTTACCCAAAGCAACACAAGGAGAAAGAAAAAAAGACAAACACACCTCTGCATTTAGAATTTATCTGCCCTACCCCAATGTGGGACCTTTTCAGAGTCCAAAACCAAAACAAAGCAACAGGCTAAGGATAAAAGGCTTCAAACAAAATGGGCAAACCTAGAAAGCCCAATAAGCACTAAAGCAGAAGTGTCAAACTCATTTGTCGCCATGGGCTGAATAAGTGGCACCATACACGTGGTGCCCAACCTGGCTGGTCTGGGACCTGCACTGCATGTGGTTCCTGCCCCAGACCAGCCAAAGCAGGTGCCGCATGTCCCAGGATGAGTGTCACATGCATCTCATCCCAGGCCTCGAGCACAGGACTGATGCAGTACATGGATCAACTGGAGACCAATGGCAACACCAGGGATTGAACGATGGGGCTATGTAAGCCATATCTTTGACACCCCTACACTGAAGTCCTTCAGTAACTTTGTTCCTACTTGCTTTGCTGTCACATAGCTGGGGCAAGTTCTCCTTATTCCCTTCAAAATCCTTTGGAGATCTTTTTACTGCCTCCTTGGGTCTTTTTAACCTGTGCTCCATTAAGTCCCTTGGTTGACTAACTGATGGTGGAGTATATAAAACAAAACCCAAATGATTTATGACAGAACATTTCATGATCTCTGCAAAGAGACACAAAGCAAGGCCAACAATACAAACAAATCTGGAATGTTTAAGCTAAACTATTTGGGAGGTGCAATGAAATAAGAGAGACAACCCCAAAAGCTACACAACTTAAGAGTGTTTTGAGACTGAAGAAGTTCCCACCACCTTTCCAGGAAGTGTAAAATCTACTTCGAGACATGTAGCGCATGGAATTGTTTTATTTTAGGGAAAGTTTAGGAAAGAAATAGTTGGCTGAAATTTCAGTCACATAATGGTAATTGAGATTAACCAAGCATGAAGCAGCTACTGCCACTTCGGAAGCATACCTTATTTTTGGTGTGTAGAAATTTACCCCATTCTTCTGCATCAACACCTGAAAACAAATAATCATTACATGAGAAATTCAACTTCAACGCCTTTTTTAAGGCCTGTCTGTTGCAACGTTTATTTTTAAGGTGACAATGGAGAGTTAATCTATTATCAGAAAATAAACGGTTCAATACAAATATAATTAACATTCTGCTTATCCCAACATCTGCTCCTCATTCCAAGCTTTAATTTGTAAATCTGTTGTCTAATTTCCATTTTCTCATTTGTGGACCTAATTAAACAAATGAGTCATTTATCTATCCTAGCAGGCTCCAGAAGTGCTCTGGCCTACTTAAAGATTAGCCTGTGAAAGCGGGGGATAGGCAAGGGGGGAGAGGAGGAAGAGAGGGACAGGAAAGGAGGGGAGGGATAAAAAAAAAATCATTCTTTTTCTTTTGCTTATAAAAAAGTTTTTGTTTTGTTTTTTTTAAAGATACAGTCTCTTCATGGGAAGTTGTATCAGATTACAGCTGAAAGGGAAAATTATGCTGGAAAAAAATGTAAACAACACATTGTGAATAGTAACAGTGGAACCTTGGGGTTAAAGTCTTTTCAGGACCAAATCTGCCAAGCATTTTAATTCAATGGTGATTGACAGTGCTCAAGACCTTTGAGGAACAGGCCCAAAGACTGCAAAGGAGATAGAGAAGTGAGCATTTCTATCTTCCAGTGTACATGACTATTAATATCAACTTTAGCCATATTTGGAGACCCTTGTGGTCACATAACTAGATCTCAATGTTTTTAGCAACATTTTCATTTGAGATTTCAGGCTCCTCCACACAGAACTCGGTTTTTAAGAAAAACCAACATGAACACAGATGAGTATCTGGCCATCCAAACAGTGCTCATCTAAAATCAAAGCACCACTCAGACTGGTTCATTCACAACGATTTCCAAGAGATGATCAACAGTGCAGATTAAAAAGGCATTTGGTAACTAAAAATGAACATTATATGATAAAGCAGCACATCACAAAATAATTGAAATAAAAAAGGTTAAGTTCATATCTTACATTCTATTGCAATGCAAAGTCAGAAAGAATTAAAAATTAAAAAGTCACAAGACCCAGAAAAATAACCAGTCAATACAGTAGCTAACGTTCAAAAGTAAAAGTATAATCAGCAGTAAGTGGCATTAAATGTAGGTGGTTAGCATACATAAACATGCAGAGGATGTGTAGGAAGGAAAAGCAAGTGGTAAAGGCAACCTTTAGAAAGGTGTCTTGGATTTTTCCATGTGGCTGGGTCTGCAGTTAAAGAGAAACAGCATTGAATCATGTTTAGCATTTGCTCTTACATTTTATATAGCATTTTAAAAAATTTTTCCATATTAGATGTATGGGGATCACAACTGCGTGCATAAATGTGCATGCTATTCAATTATTAATGATTATGCATAATGCATTAGCACAATATACAGTAATTAGAACTCATCTAAACATTGATAAGTAAATGATGCACATTAAACAGATATATCATGTCATGTATTTTACTTGATGTTTTTATTATTGCTGTTCATCTGATTTGACCAATTGACCATGGAATACTGATTTCAGCACATCAAGAGGTGCTTTTTCTTTTGTTATTCAGCACAGCAATCTTAACTTCCCTGGATCAGGTATGTTTCCCTATGATTAATTAGCTATGCAATGAAAACAAGGCATTAGCACAAGTGCTTCTTGAAAGTACTTTTGGAAAAAGGAAAAGATCAGAAACTTTTCTGCATAGTTCATAATTATGCATGTCAAAACAATTCTGCACTACAGTGAACATAAGACATGAAGATTAAAAAAGTGGCCGTAATTCTGAAGTTGAGTTGAAACGTCAGAGCTGTGATAGCCCAAGAGATGTACAAAAAGCTTTTTTTGAGCTCTGACCATCACAACAGATTAAGTGGGAGTTTCAGTTTCATAGTTATGAAGGGCTGGAAGGGACCTTACAGATCACTGGGTCCAGCTCCCCCTGCACTTGGGCAGGAAAGACCAACTTGATCCCAAGGATGGCACCAAAAGAAAACCCTTTGTTTCTCCCATAAATCTATGACAGTGCCAGGTAGCTTGGACCTCAAACTTTAGGTTTTGTTTAAAGCTTTACACAATCCCAATAAAATAAATTAAAACACTGTTTTTACAGTACAAAAAGTTTGGATTTCAGTATTCTGCTGTGGTCCTTGCAACTTAAACCTCCACAGCATCACAGTAGCACAAGAACCAAAAATTAGACTTAAGGGGTTTCATCACACTAACCTGTGTACTGCAATGTAGGACTGTGCAAAGTGTCAGCCCCTGATTCGAATCGGCAGAGATGCGGCCTGACTTGGTGGCCGAATCTCCAAATCTGGAAACTCTTTAATCTCTCTGAATTGAATCGAAACCCTGCGAATCAATTCAGAGAGATTTGGAAAGATTCAACGATTCAGACATAGACACAGTTTTAAATGTTTTTTCTCCATACCTCAATGTACCAGCAGCTCACGAACGCTGAGATACTGGGGTGGATGGAGTATCGGCAGTGGACCCAGAAGTGGACCAGAAGCATTTCCAGGTCCACAGGAAAGCACGCTGAGGGCCCCCTACCCCGCTGGCTCGGTGACTGATGCCTCCTGGGTCTAAGGGGGCATCCGGGGGGGGGACCTAGGACCACCCTGTGGCCAATTACTGAGCCGGGGGAGAGCAGGTCCCCTGCCCCATGCTCTAGGCGGTGGACCCAGAAGTACTTCTGGTCCACTTCTGGGTTCACTGCCAAGCACACGGGCCCCCCCCCACCACGCTCCCATGGAATGCTCCATCTGTCCCAGCATCGTAGCGTTCACAAGCCATGCCTGGTACCTTGAGGTATGTAGAAAAAACATTTAAAGCTGCGTCTATGGCCGAATCGCTGATTCTCTGAATCAGCATCGAACCTTCAAATTCGGATTTGGCTGAATCTAATCGGGGACAGTGATCTGAATCAACGAATCGAATCACTGTCTCCAATTTGGGCCAAATCCAACTTGAATATGACCCATTTCACACACCCCTACTGCAAGGGATCAAAAGCCTGGTAAACGTCAACTGCCTGAAAAAAAATACCCAAGACAGTGGTACTTGCTCTTGGTGTCAAATTCATCTGGCCCTGTGGGCCAGACCTTTCCCTCAGCCTCCCAGATACAATACACACAGTGCTCATGCAGGGCAGGGCCAGCACCATGCAAGGTCAGTCCAAGATGCTGTGGGTCCCAGACTGGCTGGAGCAGGCACTGTGTGTGGCATGTGTCCCAGACCCTGCCCCTAGGGCTGTGTGAAATTTTGGCAGCCATTTTGTTTTAGAGGTGTTTCAGCCCATTTCAGTGTCCAAAACACCAAATCCAAAACAAAAACGGAAGGCTCCGAAACATCTCCGAAACTACACAAAACCATCCAAAATGTTTCAGACGTTTTGGAGGCAGGCTTGTGGGGAAACAGAAACTCAGAGGGAAGGGGGGGGGAAAAAGGACTACTCTGATATTGACATCTATAGCTGGCCAGTGTCTGCGATCTGTCCCTGAGGTCCCTTCCAATCCCAGTGCTCTGGGGGAGGGACAGCAACCTGCTGTCATCCTGTGTGCAGCTCCAGGGGCCTGCGCCCCCCAAGAGGAGTCTGGCACAACCTCACAGCCCTCCCGGGGGGTGCGGGATGACATCATGCTGTCACTGTCGGCCGGGGCCAGTGCCAGCACCCAAGTCTGTTTGGCGCAGCCCATACCAAGCGCCGGAAAGAACCCAGGGCTGGCACTGGCCTTAGCCGGTAGTGGCAGCCTACTCTCATCCCACGCACAGATCTGGGGGCCCATGCCCCCTGGGAAGAGTCTGGCACAGCCCCACAGCCCTCCTTTTAAAGTACCAGGAGACTGGGGCCAGGCAGGGCAGCCATGGACACTTCTCTCATGACTCCCCAGCACCAGGGGAGAGGCAGCCACGGGAGAAGTCCCTATGGCTGCCCTGTCTGGCCCCAGCCCCTTGGCACTTTTAAAAAAAAAAAAAAAAATCCTTGTATTCACCAGCTGCAACATTGGTGATCAGGGCCTCTGAGGGCTCATGGCAGAACCCTCCTGTGCAGCATGGGGCAGTGGGGATTCCCCCCGCCTGGCACCCATGCAGCAGCTCTCGCATTGCATGGGTGCAGCGTGGTTCAGCAGAGCACCATGCACTGTCTGGGAGCTGGAGCAGCTCCACCTCTCAGCCGAAGCCCAGCACCGCTACCCCCAATTCCCAGGCAGCGCACAGCACCCTGCCAAGCCACGCTGCACCCATGCCACGGGGCAGCTGCCATATGGGGAGGAGGGCAGTCCCCAGTGCCCCCACTGTATGTGTGTGTGTGTGGGGGGGGGGGGGGGG